TCTAACAACCCTCACCTGGCAGGTGGGGAAATACATGTTAGTGGGCATGGTTTTCAAGAAGAATTAATCCATCTATTCCAATAGTATAAAACATCTCACAAATCATAAGTAAGTACAGCAAACCACAATGATCCCCTTAACTTGTACCTTGTGATCTGTTTGAGGTTTGTGTGTTCAGATCTTGTTGCAACAGAATCCCAGGCTTCCAAACCAACAATTTGAAAATTTATCATTTTTTTCTTGTATAAAGTTCCTATTTAAAATTGTTGATTTGTGATGCCTTTTGGCTTCACAAAGGGGGAGACCCACAAAGAGATCAGTGATCTAGTTGTGAAGATCTATTGAAAACCATCCCAAAATAGCAAACAACCATGATCCCCTGAACCTGTACCTTGTGATCTGTTTGAGGTTTGTGTGTTCAGATCTTGTCGCAACAGAATCCCAGGCTTCCAAACCAACAATTTGAAAATTTATCATGTTTTTCTTGTATAAAGTTCCTATTTAAAATTGTTGATTTGTGATGCCTTTTGGCTTCGCAAAGGGGGAGACCCACAAAGAGATCAGTGATCTAGTTGTGAAGATCTATTGAAAATCATCCCAAAAGAGCAAACCACCATGATCCCCTTAACTTGTACCTTGTGATCTGTTTGAGGTTTGTGTGTTCAGATCTTGTTGCAACAGAATCCCAGGCTTCCAAACCAACGATTTGAATATCTATCATTTTTTTCTTGTATAAAGTTCCTATTTAAAATTGTTGATTTGTGATGCCTTTTGGCTTCACAAAGGGGGAGACCCACAACGAGACCGTGATCTAATTGTGAATGTCTATTGAAGACAATTCCAAAATAGCAAACCACCATGATCCCCTTATTCTGTATCTTGTAGTCTGTTTGAGGTTTCTGTGTTCCAGATCTTGTTGCAACAGAATCCCAAGCTTCCAAACCAACAATTTGAAAATCTATCATTTTTTCTTGTATAAAGTTCCTATTTTTTTTTTGATTTGTGATGCCTTTTGGCTTCACAAAGGGGGAGACCCACAAAGAGACCAGTGATCTAGTTGTGAAAATCTATTGAAGACAATCCCAAAATAGCAAACCACCATGATCCCCTTAACCTGTACCTTGTGATCTGCTTGAGGTTTGTGTATTCAGATCTTGTTGCAATAGAATCCGAAACTTCTTCACCCAAAATAGGAAAGACCACTCAGAGGCTAACATAGATATTGTATTCTCAAATCAACGATTTGCAGCTGGTACTACTAACATGTATTTTATGTTAAAATCTCTTGTGACACACCAACTGCTCCAAAGCGTTACTAACCTATACCTTGTCTGGGGAGTGTGGCACATGTCTGAATTCCTTGTCTTACTTTTTTCCCTTTTTTTCCTGAAAAGTTGTACCTCGCCAAAACGGCAAGGAAAACACACGTGTCCTGATTTTTTTGTCAACTCCAAAATAAATACTCGTTAGATTATGGAAGAGTAATTGAGCCATTAATACAAGGGTTAGTTCATAGTCATAGTCCCCAATAACCCAGGTATAGTATAATTCCTGATAAAAACCATCAACCCAGGTATTTGAATATATAGATCAATTGACAATGATGATCCAAAAAATATCAAAACATGCTTGGCCAAGTGGCAAGTGGCAGCCACGTTTCCCTCAACCATGCTGCATCTCGCATGTTTTTTTCAATTGTGTTTTCTTAATGTATGGTGGTAGTCACAATTGTAGAACGGAAGTACTACCAATTATAATTGTGACTACCACGGCATTCTCAATTTATTGATGTTACATGACTTTTTGAACAACGCGTAGAGACTACGGATCACACATCTGAAACCGATCCAGGGTGTGCCTTTGGGCCCAAAGGAACTTTGTCATGGCCGAATTGCCATTGGTGATTCAGTCTCAGAACACTGTCATCAGTTTCAGCACATTGCAAAAATCACTAAGATTAATCCCATCCCCCCAACATTACAGACATTACATAAGCATACATAAGCCCCAAACAGGACCTCCAATGATTAATTCGTCCTCCACCAGTTTTGTCCTTATTTAAAAAATGATACCCTCTGGTTATTTAACATAGCCATGGAAGCCATACCTAGCTAGGATCTTTCCATGGCTATGTTAAATAACCAGAGGGTACCCTCTGGTAATCTAACATAGCTATTGAAAATGGCCATAGAAATAGTGAGTTTTCACATTACAAATGGGTGGATCTTTCCATAGTCATGTTAGTTTACCAGAGGGTAATACCCTCTGGTAAACTGAAATGACTATGGAAAGATCCAACCATTTTTAATGGGTAAATCAACCATAAATGACCATTTTCAATAGTTATGTTAAATTACCAGAGGGTTATTGAAGCATATCCTGATCCCCATTAGATCCCCACGATCTGGTGAACTCCGTGAAATCGGCCTCCTTCAATGGCCCCGTGTCCTTTACCTCCACCAACCACAAAGACCTGGGGAAATGGGAGTCAATTGGCAATAACCAGTCATGTATAGATATTGGTTCAAGAAATACAATAATTCACTAAGATGAAAAGGGTGATCGAATCCGCAGGTATTAGTTCAGCAGTGTTTGGGGCTCCCCAAAAGTCATATTTTTTCATGTTGTTTTATTTTGATTTCATCTTCTAACAGTCCCTACCAGAAATAGGTCAAAATGAGGCACAAAACAAAGCAACCTAGAAAGAGCATGCACGGGCACATGGCCTTTCATACATGGCTTAAGACGGTTGATGTGCTTCACAGGAAGCACGGCCGCAACATTCTTTTTGCACGTTGCAAAGCACGGTGAACAACTTCTCAGGTAGGGCAGACCTAGGTCACAAAACTGAAAATGTGGAATGATTTTGAATGCTTGGTCAAAGTCTTGAAGATGAATGACGGTCACTTGTGTCATGCGTCATGTTGCTGCACACCATACAACCAAACAATAGAGATATTGAGATTCTGTTCACTTGTGTCACTTGCTTGTGGGGAAGCTGTCACTTGCAATCGAAGAGGGACTGGCTAAGTTCAGCACTCAGGATTTCTGCATTCCCCAGCAACCGGGATGCACAGAAACCTAAAGCTGAAATCGTCGAGAGTCAATAGTGTCATTTGTGTCATGTGTGTCATTTGCGTCACCTGTAAGTCATGGGCAAGTATACAGAGGTCTTCGGCACGATAATTTTTGTCACCGACTGCATGGACACAGACTACGCTGACTGTCATCGTTAATTACAAATTTGGGGTCGACATCCCGACTTGTATCAGGGATGAAATTGAGCAGAGTAGATATCTGCCACGGCCATTGCAAAAGCTGGAGTGTATTGGCCTGAAATTTCTAGTGCATCTCTACGACCTGTGAACTTTCCTTGATCATCATGAGTCGCCAAAGACTCTGTTAGCCAATCGGGTTTCGGCCGTTCAAGGTCAGTAAAATTGCCTACGCCAGCATGCCATAACTGTAGCGGCTTCACAGAACTGGCGCCAAAAGCACCAGCATACGTGACATGCTTTCTGGCTGATACAAAAGACAGTACATGAGGAAAGCTTCCAGCTTGTGGCATGCAACTGTTCAGAGGTTGCTCCAGAATGGTTTCACAATTCAACACGAAGCTTAGAAACATCACAAGGCTAGAGAATTCCTGTAATGCGTTACCAATCCGGACAAACTCCCTTCGCATGTCTCCTCGGAAAAAGTTCTCCATGTAGCGTTGTGACTGGGCCAAGCACAGAACTACGAAACTACTACATTGCGTTCCTAGCCATATCAGTGCATGGTCCTTTGCTGCACCAAGGAGGTTGAGAAATAATCTCAAACCACAGGGCTCCAAGCAATCCTGGGCTTCAGCATCGTTGATCAAGTCCACAGCGGCACCCCAAAAGCCCTTCTTCAGAAGATGTCGAGTCAGCTCACCTTTGCCGCAGAAGTACTCTACGAAGTCAAAGTTGCAGCGGCCATCATTGCATTGCCGGTGTGCTAAAGTTCTTTCCTCCGACGAAGTTTGGATGAATAGAAGGGACATGACAAGACATGCATTGTCGCAAAACAAATCATTCATATAAAACAGCAAAGCAACAAACAGCTAAAAAAAAAAAAGCTGGTAATTCAAAATGAACGAACACGTAAACTGCAAACCCAAGAGTCCACCAGGGACATGAGCATCTCCTTTAAACACATGCCCTTCATGAACGGGTAGGCCATTTCGATGAGCACTGGCCACAACATGACTGCAAAGCCACCAAATTCCACATCTCCAGTGAGAAACTGATCAACGAGCTGCCCCAAAGACTGCAAGGACTCTGCTGCCGACGACTTGCACTTCAAAAAGGGGCTCACAACTACAGTGTCCAGGAGCTTGAAGTGGGTACATGACCAAAAGGTTAGCTCCAACTCCAGATCTTCCTGGTCAACGCGCTGCTGGTGCTCAGCCAGTGTCTCTTGAACTCTGGTTGCTGTGAAAGGAATGCGAAACATGCCTCCTTCAGACATCTCAGCCTGGGATTGCTGAGACAAATCGCCATGGTGACATTTTTGTTTCTTTTTTCCCTGGGTCTTCTTTACTTTCACTGCGTGCTGAGCCTGCTCCAAACCAGGCATCATCATTGCTCCAAGCATGAGAGGCCATTGCCACATTGGCATGGAAGGGCACGACCATTTCCCCATGGCGCACCCGTAGTAACGAAGCTGTCACAGTCAGTCAAACCAAGGGTCAAAAAATGATACGCTGCTTGCGGTGGGCTGAAAGCCAGTTGTGCCCACGCTCTATATCTATTAGATTCGATGGTTTACTGTAGGTTCTAGATTCGACTTGCTTGATCATGTTCCTACTCTGTTGTCAGTCGGGGATGACAGCATCCTCTGCGGTAGCCACAATGACAACACACACACAAGCAAGAAAGCAAAAGTTGAAAGTTGTGACCGCACCGCATGACAAACGACACTGCCAAACTAAAGACACTGCGCCCGTATGTTTTGACAAATGTGGAGCAGACAGCTCACTCCGACTCACTGCCCTGTCTCTTGCCGTAGGCCTTGGCAGAAGGTAGGTCATCGATGGTGCTTTGCAAAGAATCCAGGAGCTCTTGAGGGATAATTCCTGGCTCTTGTTCCTCTTGCCCAGCCTGCAGCTTATATGCAGGATCATCCCTGACAAGGTGCCACTTTTGCCATGCGTGTGCATGTACAATCTTCAGCGCGTAGCCCCATTCAATGTTCAGAAACTGCTTGGAAAAGGTTTTTTTTGAAAAGTGTGGGTCAAAAGCACGCCTGTGGCCCTTCTTGCATTCCACTTTCCTTGGCTGCGTGCACGCAGGAAAAGTAGCCAGCGACAAGAAAAGAAGAAGGAGTTAATAACGTACTAACAGCAGACCAGTGTCCAACGCCACTCATTCTTGCTCATGGTCAGTTTGAACCCAGGAGGTTCCAGGAGGGAAAGAACTTCGGATGGGGATTTGTAAACCTTTTTCCTGGTAACAGACGACGACGATGATGGACCTTGCTCCGTTGCAACCACTTCTTGTTCTTGAAGCACCTCTTTTTTCATGTGAAGCAACTCTGCTTTGTCTTCACCATCTTCACCATCATCAGCAAGTGGCTGTTCCTCCGCCTCATCCACTTCCATGGGCAAAGTTTTGTCCTCCTCAATCGTTCCCTGGTTCGGAGGTGTGGTGTCATCACAAGGTTCAAAGCCGCCGCCAAACAAAGACTGTACCTGACGATCTCCTTCCCCCAAAGCATCAGTGGGATGTTCATCAGCTGGTGCCAGGACATGTTCCTCAGCCTCAGGTTGGTCTTCATGAATATCTGCCGCTGTGCCATCAGGAGTTGGAGCCTTGCGCTTTCTTGTATTGGCCGCCTTCTTCTTTGCAGCCGCTTTTGGTTTAGCCTTTGCTTTCTTAGATGGGTTCTTTGACTTGGACTTGGCCTTAGCCTTCTTCTCCTTTTTCTCTTCCACCCTTTGCAGCAGCCCATCAGACCATGCCTTCTTCTTGGCCAAGTCGTTGTGTTTCTGCACTCTTTCTTTCAGCTCTCCTTGGCTAGTGTTAGCCCTTGGTTCAAAAACATAACAAATTAACAAAATTCAGAGTTGCGAGCATCAGTGCCCGGCAAAATTAAAAATGCTAGCCAAGCTGAGGGTCTAAAATCGTTTTTTTCAACTTGGCCTTCTAGGCCTTCAAGTAGCTGCTCGGCAAAATCCAAGTTGTCAGCATCAGTCTGTTTGCCCTTAGAGTACTCCTGATCCAGCTCCAATACCTGCTCGGCGAAATCTTCCCCGAAAGATGTTGCCAACAAGCGCAACAGTTCCAATCTGTCCATGCTCCTCGGCTTGTGGACTTTCATGAAGGTGGCAATGGTGACAAGGTCGCCGAAACTCAAAATCCAAGGAGTTTTCAGAGCTGCCAGAATGAGTGGCTCACCGGCACAAATGACACGCAGACTCACGCCTTCATCTAAGACTGACTCTGACCAAACCACCTCAGCAGTGAGGGCAAGCCAAGAGTCCCAATCATCGTGGTTTGACAAGTGATGCCATCGAGCTTTCGCACCAGCATCGCACGACACCTGCAGACGGGTAACATGACTTTCATGCTCGACCAGAACCAGCGGCCAAGAAAGAAATCCCCAGTAGCACGACTTGACTACAATGACGAACTCTTCACTGTGAACATGCTGTAGGACTTGCTTTGGTTGGAGGATGCCGCTGATGGGTCCATCTGCTATGCGGCATCCAAGGTCCTGGACCTGCCGCACAAAGCTCCATCCAGCCGCTGACCGTCGCAGCGTATCTTCGCTGATTGTTGGCCACACTTTGTTCCCCATGATGGAGCTGAAAACCTAATTTGCCAGGAAAATTTGAATCACACAGAGTCAGATCTCAGCAGGCCAGCTAGAGGGTCTAGGTTTCCATGTCTTTTGTCCAACATGAAAACATGTTTCGACATGAAACTAGTAACTCGAAGACAACAAACAGCTGCTCAAGAGGCACCTTGTCAAGCCTCATTGCGTGCCCTCTGAAGTTCCTGAATTGGACACCATCCGTTTTCGCTGATGACCACTTCTCCAGGAACCACTCTTTCTGCAAGCTAGCCACATGGTTGATCTCCCGCCCCTCAAGGACCATTGCCTGCTGCACAAGCTCCATAATATGCGACGCAGACTGCCTTGAATTGGCATTTCCAGCAGCATCGTTTCTGATGCGTTGGTGGCAATCTTCAACCACCTTGGAATCAGGAAATCTGCGGAAGATTGCTTCCATGATAAACCACCCCTGGTGTCTGATGCCAGTTGGACCAAAGACACACCAGTTGTTGAGCTCAAACAATGAAAGTGCCAACCTCACTAGGGGGTTGAACAACAACCGCAAGTCACTGGCAAGCTGGTCAGCAGCTGGCGCCGTAGACACTTCCAAAGACAAGAGCAGGTGAAAGTCGCGTTTCATTTGCTGCAATGTTTGTTGTTGAGTTGCCGCATCCATGATTCCAGCATAGCAGAAAGGTGGACACGAGTGACGAGATAGTGTGGCCACACGGTTTCCTAGAATGCTGACTGTGTAGTTGAAGACTTTTGAAGCCAAGCCGTCACTGTTCTGCATCATCTCTTCAAGCCACCTCCACGACGCCACATTGTTTGCCGCAATAAAAGAAGCAATCTCCAGCAAGTGAGGGTCACAGCACCATTGCTCACTCATTCTCAAGTCATAGGCGATATTGTCCCAGGTGCTTTTGACTGTCTCGACATTCTGAGTGTGCCAAGTCCAGCAGGCACGGCTGACGGTGAATATCACCCAGGCGGACTCATAGACTGATGCTGAGCAGCATTGATAGGCAAGCTTGAGTCCATTGAACTGCTCGCTGGATCTCCATTCTCTGAAGTTCGTGGTGTGGCCGTTAAAGTCAGGGTCAGGCAACATTTCATGGCAAAACCTCCACTCAAAAAGCATTCGCGACGCCCAAAATTCTCGAAGGTACTCAGAAGCGACTTGGTGCCAGCTAAACCACCGAGACATCTTGGGAAGGCTTCCCTTTTGAGTCCATGAAGTCATACGAGATAGCTCATCCCAAATCGTATCCACTTCAAACACATGAATGCCAAAGTCGCAAGCAATGCGGGGCAGGTATTTCTGGAAGATGGGTGACTCCTCAGAGGGGCAGCAGCATTTGTAGCAGCCTTATTTCAACTCATTCTTTAAAAAACAAAAACTGCACCACTGACCTTGCCTTGGACTCGATAGAAAGAAAGCTCTGCAGAAGCTCCAACTTCTCCTGGAAAAACCCTTGGCTGTTGAAGGGTTTGTAGTTTGCGCTCCAAAGATACATCGTTGCCAATTGGGCAAACTGCAGAAACTCCGGTCCACTTCCCTTCAAATCTCTCTGGCATCTGTGAATCTTGTCCCAGACCGGGAGGCAAAGCACACCATTCTCCTGCATCCAGGCGCACATAGCCACGCAACTGGGGCCTTGGTCCAGTTGCAGGACCATGACGGGTACACCATCAACACCGCGGAAGTCAACTTCTTGCGCCTGTTGTGTGCCAGCTCGATAGATGAGAACCTTGGCCAATGTGCACACCGCAGCGTTGCCAAAAAAAGTGCCACATCATCAACAAAAATCAATTTAAATCGGCTCTGAGCAAAGATGAATGAGTCACATACACTGAATCAAGTTCAAGCAGCTTTATTTTGCCCATTCTCCTTTACAGCTGTTCGGTGATCGCCAGGAGACAGTGGTTCTAATGACATCTCAGGTGTGGCAAAGAAACTTTCTAGGCTAAACTTCCCCTTTGTGAGCAAATGGACCTGGTGTGAGAGAGCCTGGAGCTGCTTGTACGAAGCAACTCTGGACACATCTCTTTTGATAGCCCGCAACTCAATGTCCGGGAGAAAGTCGATTAGCCCAGGTCTCCTGAGAGTGACACTGATTTGTTGGCTACATGTATCGTTGCCAGCAAAGACCTATCAGGTGCAAACAAGTGTTAGTGAAATTGGAACAAACACAAACTGAAGCTAAGCATCATCAACTTGCCTGGTGACAGCTGTTGGACAGCCATGGCCACTGCCCCATCAATGTCAGTGGAGTAGCTGTAGCTGACCAAAGTCTCTGGACCATGGGACGCGCCATCCATGACAATGTTGAAGTGTCTGCAGGCCAAGAAAGCTGTTCTCGCTCTGTCCTGGTACATTGCAAGGATTTTTTTTGACCAGTACCCTGTTGATGTTGGCTTCACTCCACCATGCGCATCATCTTCACGAACTTCCGCAAGTTTCGCCAGAGAAATACCTTTGCGGGTGGCTTCCTGGCAGAGGTTCCACACCGTCTCTAAGTTGACCTTCTGAGTGTCGGAATCTGCTGACCTCCTCACATTTCGCGAGGGCGCGTTCAGCGAACTACTCGGAGAGAGGCTTTGGTGGAGAACATCAGTGAGAAAGCCAACAAAAGCATGTAGCAAATTGGTGACGATGGCTCTGGATCTGTCTTTCCAAGGTCTTTTCTCCTGCTTCTTCCTTGCCTTGTTGACTTGTAGAACGAACAGCATGATGTCCCTCAATGGCAAGTGTGGGGCATCCCAGCTCGCAGTCAACCCCCACTGAGGGTCAGCCTTCATTGATTGCCACTGGAGCTGCCAAGCCTGTTGCACAGCCTTGTGCTCACTTTGCAGGAGTGCCGAAAAATTCGCAACACATCCAGCCGAGTTCACCTCCAACTGAACGTCGGATACCTTGGTCAATCATGGTGCCACGATTGGTCACACTGACGGAAAATTTGACTGAAGCCACCAGAATGGGTGTTTTCGGATATTAAAAATCAGAAACTTTACATCTCATTCCGTTTCCCAAAGCTTACCTGCCCAATTACAGCTCAAATTGCATCAATGACATAGCCTTCTCCCAATGTGTGCGCATGGCTGACAGCTTTTTCACAAATGGAATTGAAATGGCCAATGGCAAAGTTTGCTTTCTCTGGGATCCTCGAATGTTCAACCAGCGAAGCCATGTAAAGCAAAAGAACCCGGCTGGTCGCACAGTTTGCGTTCAAAGCTCCTGGCCTCCCAGGGATGCCAGAAAGACAAATGCTGAAACAACAGTTCTTTTTGAGCAGTTGTTTTGGTTCTTCTAACAGACAGAGCCTGCTGCTTTTGCCACGAAGGTGAAGCTCATCAGCAGAAACCCCTGAAGACTGCACAACAGCGGCGACCTGTTGCATGAACTTGTGGCTGGAGACGACTGTTGCCACTGAGGTTCTCGCGAGCTGGTCATACACATACATCAGATCCCAATAGATTGGGCCATCGCCATCATCGCCCCTCCTCCAAAACCCAACCGGGGACAAAGCAAGTTGCCCCTCGTTGAAGACCACACTGACAGTGTCGGCCACTGTCAAGAGATCATGCACCATTAATGACGAACCCCACTGAATGTGAGTCAAAACGAGAGAAATCAGGAAATTATAATATGACACAGGAAAGTACAGCTTGCATTTTAGCTGGCTGCAACAAAAACAAGGTTTGCCTCTGACTCTCTAATCAGTCGTTGCGTCTTTTGTCAGCTGTTGTTCAGAAAAGCTCCACCCTCAACAGTCACAACCTGGAACCGCTACTTGACATGCTGAATATGCACACTGATGCACAGTCACAAACGACTCTAGGATGACAACACATGACAACACCCCACTGTACACATGGAACCAGTACATGACATTCCTCGGGCAAAGAGGGCACTTTTTTTTGTGCACTTGCCTGGGTGGCCGCAACCCAACGGATCAAACCCAGCTTTGTCTTCGTGGCCAGGCAACGCAGGCAGTTCACACTGCAGTGTCAAATGAACACTCGCAATTCCTAAGAACCCGCCTCGCATGCAATGCCTGTGGCGTCTCTCTCCCAAAGATCTAATCACACCTAGCACCTCGCCAGTTTCAATTTGAAAGGAACCAAAAATTTGTCAGTTGTGTCAGTTGTCTTAGCATCGGTCAGTGTCTGTTTGACTGACAACATGACCCTTGTGACAGCCTAGCTTGAAGCACGACAGCGATGCAAACAAATGACCCTCACCCTTCAGACGTCTCACATGAAAGCAACCGGCTCCTCAGCCACATCACCAGCAGAATCACCAGCTTCATCAGAGACACCATTCTCAGCCGCAGTGGTCACGCCGGCCTGCTCCACATTCTGGTTAGACTCATGGCAACGGTATGGGCAATGGTGATTTGGAACCCCAGTCACTTCACGCCACTCATTGAGGCAACGGGCATGAAAGGTATGGGGGCGTGGGCAAGGAAGGGTCTCTCCATCCTCCGACTGCAACATCACTTCATGACAAATGGCACATACTGGGCCAGCCACAACCCCAGCAGCTGGTGGCTCAGCAGCTGCTCCACCCTCACCTGATTCACCTTCAACAGCTGATCCACCTGCAACCTCGTTGGACTCAGGACCACTGGCAGATTCAGCTGCTGCATCCATTGCCTGACCCAAGCTGAGACGTGGAGGGGATGCCTTTGGCGGGCTGGATGTGGCCTTCGGGTAGACCACTGATGCCCGGGGCGGAGGGGTCGAGGCAGCAGCTGGCACAGCTGGCGGAGGCGCCTTTGGAGGCGACACGGCTTTGGGCGACGTGGCAAACACAGCAGCAGGAATCATGGTAGTAGCCAAGGCCTTTGGAGGAGGTGGGGCAGCTTTGGCCAACAAGTTCCCAATGTGCCCACTGGACTTCACAGCCGCTTTGGCGAGACTTCGTTTGCTGGTTGCTTTGGCCATGAACTCGGAAGACCAGCCAAAGGCACCAGCAATCATCAACACATCCGAGTCACCCATGTCAAGTGGCAACCGGGACATGATCTCATCCTGAAATCGTGCATCAGTCATTGACTTCCTGACACGCAAATGCGCAGTCATGAACTTCTCAGCAAGCTCCTGGTATGTCTCACAACCTTGGCGAGCAGGTTACAGAAACTTAAAGAAATCAGTGTAAACATTGCAGTGGCCACGAAAACCATGTTTGACACACCATGAAGGTCCAAGTGGCCAAGGTCACACACTCTCAGGTTAGGGCGAAGCCGGCACCACAGCCACAAAAGACCAAGGAGACCCACAATGCTCAGGTTTGACGTTGCAGTTGGGTCTAAGTCTAAGCAAATCGAGTTCAGGCACATAGCCAATCGGTTCCGGGGAACCTGCCTCAGCATGCTCACAGAGCGACCCCAAGTCTTCTCACAGCTGACAGGCAATGCCATCAACAAGGTCACAGGTGGGACCACAGCTTCTCCACCTGTCTTGGGAATGGTTGGAGCTGCTGAGGACGCTGGTGCACTCTGACCTTGGCCTTCATCCGAAGATGACGACTCCTCAGCCTGAGCCTGTCCACGCTGGGGTGGTGGCTGCATCATGCTGCCCATGCCAGCCAACATAGGGTTCATCATCATCGCAGGGTTCATCATCATGGGGTTCAACATCATTTGCTCCCGAGGCTGAGTACGAGCACGCTTGTGATCACGCCCCATTGCTTCAGACCCGTAGACAGGATCCAGGCACCTAAACTGAAAACAACTACTTTTCACAACTATTTGGGCCCGAGGTGAAACATTGACAACGTGACACTGGTCCCGACCTGTGTTCTGGCACATGTGTTCCATGTTGAGACCCCACAGAGACACCAATACTTCCGCGAGCACACAAGAGAAAAAAAGAGGAACAAAGAGGAAAAAAGAGAAAAAAAGAGGAAAAAAGAGAAAAAAAGAGAAAACAAGAGAAAAAAAGAGAAAAAAAGAGAAAAAAAAGAGAAAAAAAGAGGAAAAAAAACAATGCCCCCCTAATTGAAAGTAGCCTACAAGAGCACAGAGAAGGAGAAAAAAAGAGGAAAAAAGAGGAAAAAAGAGAAAAAAAGAGAAAAAAAGAGAAAAAAAGAGAAAAAAAGAGAAAAAAAAAGGAAAACGAGAAACAAACAAAAGAGAGAGAGAAAGAAAATGACCGATTGATTACACATGACCGATTTGTTACAAACTCAGTGCCGGTTGATTACAAATGACCGATTAGGACACATCACATGGATCAATGACAAGTCACAAATGGCACATCCAGGACAAATGACAAGTCCAGCACACATGACATCACAAATGACACATCCAGGACAAATGACAAGCCCAGCACACATGACATCACAAATGACACATCCAGGACCTATGACAAATCCAGCACACATGACATCGCAAATGACACATCCGCGACAAATCACAAGTCCAGCACACATGACATCACAAATCCAGGACATATGACAAGTCCAGCACACATGACATCACAAATGACACAACCAGGGCACATGACAAGTCCAGCACACATGGCGTCACAAATGACACATCCGGGACATATGACAAATCCAGCATACATGGCGTCACAAATGACACATCCAGGACATATGACAAGTCCAGCACACATGGCGTCACAAATGACACGTCCAGGACATATGACGAATCCGGCATACATGATGTCACAAATGACACATCCAGAACATCATTATAATATGCCAAGCCCAGCACACACATCAAGTTCAACAGAAACAAATAACACATCTAACCAGTTGCAGCAGTGCCACATGACACTAAACGACAAATGCGTGTTTGTGCTTTTCAAGTGACATCACGTGAATGCACCTTCAAAAACAACAACAATCACAATCACAATGGCGAAAGGCTAAAGTTTCAGCAGGGTCCTGTCTGAATGTACTGAGTTTGCAGCACATGCGCCATTGGTAGCTGCCATGCAGACACCTCCAGGCACACAATGCACAGCCAAGCGAAGGATGTGAACAAACATAATTGCCCGGCAATATTATTCGGAAGAAACAAAAGTTTAAGACAAAATTCAGCTGCTTCACATTGAGCTCAGGAGCGCGCGCAAAAAGGAGATGCTCCAGTCTCGAAAATTTCAACCTGGGCAATGAACCACACCGCAGGACAACTTGGAACATGTGGTCCACATTCTCTTTGTCACCATTGCCATGACCTGACTGACTGAGGGCCAGACTGAGGTAGCATCAAGCCACCTTTGGAGGAGCGGACTGTATATTGATTATTTCGTCTATCTCATGGGGCTGCCTGCTTTCAAATTCCATCACTTTTTGTTTGTTTTATCATGATTGTAGGTGAACTTCCATTAGCTAGTTTTTGAACAGAGTATTGAAGCCCAAGTGACAGAAAAGTCACACATCCATGGTGCACCTCTAAAGTAACAAGGACTTGTTCTGTTGTCTTGGGCCCACGCCAGGGCCAACCAGCCATGTGAGAAATTGCGCACGAACACACAAATGACAGCCTGCAGCAAGAATCACAAGCGTCAGTGACTAAAGGCCACCGCAAATACCTCATGAAGTTGGTTACTTTCACGTCAACCAAAAGGATTTGACAAGGGCAATCGCTGTTGCCCCCGCTTTACACGCACACACACCTTGAATATGACACTCTTTTAAGGCTTGAGGAACTGACCTTTCAGCCACCTTGGCCAGCGAGCATGTCGAGAATTGATCATTTTTAGTTTTCTGTCATTTGGATTTCAGTAGCCACATGCTTGATGCGATGTGAAAGAAAGACTATGTCTAGTCCAAAAAGACAAAGACATCACCAATCGAAGCCCCACATACCACCCCATGCTGTTGCGCCATCACTTCAAATTTCAGGTGAGTTTATCAGGTACTTTGAGAAAATGTGCCAGGGCCAAGGCCAAAATGAAGGCAATTGTGGCTCCTGAGCCTGAGCATGCAAACCAGTGACTGGGCAGCAGCCATGTTAGTTGTACTGGATACAGCTTGAAGTTCCACCATGGTCATAGTCATTTGTGTCGTTTGTCTGGGAAAAGGATACTTAATTTTGGAAACCTTGAACCGCGAGCTACTTTGCAATGTTCCCCAGCCCTACATGCTGTGCTTCTCATAGATTGTCAATGGCAGCTGTTGGCCGCTCATGGCATCATGCTTGTTCCACCCCCACTGGCACCAGGCAATGCGACAACACAGTCAGGCTTCAAAGCATGCTTTGATGTCTAGTCATGCCCAACTTGCAAATGATGTATGAAGAACTCGAGCCTGAGGCCTTGACATTGCTTAGTCATTGCAAAGCCTGCAGCACCTGGCACGCCGATTCTTTTGGCAGATAGTAGCACAGGTTCCACCAAGCAGTGCAAATGTTAGGACCAAGAATAGTACACATGACAAATGACACTCACTGACTGACAGTGACAAGCAATTGCCATTGCAATGCGTGCTCTGGTTTTTTTCCTTTTCATACATGGACGGCAGCTTCACTGTGCCAAATAGATATGGCCCATATGATACATCAGAATACATCAGACTCAAACTGGAAAAGTCATGCTTTGGACTGCTCGACGTCGATCCTTGAGCAGCTCCACGTCATTTCCTTGTTTTGGAATGGCAAACTGCTTGGAAACAGAGCAAGAGGCACAGCACAACATAGACTTAAGTCAAGTGGACACCATTGCCACAAACAAGACCTCCGATATGTTTTCACAAGTCAACCTAAACTTTGAACTTAATGTCAATCAAAGACACTGACACAGCTGAATAACCAGGAGTTTGCTGCTGGCTTTGCAGAGGCCATGATCTTCATCCTGAGCCAGTCATGCAGATTCCACATTCTTGTCTCAATATTGAACTTTGAAGAGGGGGCATGACTAAAAGTGTAGTGCTCACAACAACATTGTGAAGACAACAGCTGTGACATCATACTGACAACTTGCGCCATGATTCAGAAGCCTGATTTGTCGGAGTCGGCCTTCTTCAAAATCCCCCAGTGTCAAAAAGGCAGCAATGCAGTTCCCAGAGTACCCACGATCTCTCAGAACTTCCGACCTGACAGATAAGCAGAACAATGAACCACAAACCCAGAGTACTCAGAGCACAACTGAAACAAGAATTGGCGACTGACTGCAACAATTGTCATTTGCCTTCTTGCTCTATCAAGTTTCGTTGAATTGAACGGACATAGCCAAACATTTTTGTAGGAATATGTCTCCATATGTCTCTTTTCAAACCTCTTTGAAACATACCCAAGTCACATGACGTTCTGCTCAGCTGACAACGGAGCTGGTCGACCACTCGGTCTCGCCCACGGATGCTGTTGCTTCCCAGAAGGACCGCGACGAACTGGCCCATAAGTTGGAGCCCGAGCCACCGATGCAGTCTCCACGACAAAGGGCTCGGGCCAGACATCAGGTGGTGGCGGTGGTAATGGTGGTGGTGGTGGTGGTGGTGGACCACCAGTCGCCACCGGTTCCACAGGACCAGCACTCGCCACTGGTTCCACAGGTGGACCCACGCCGGGAACCATTGATGGCAGCGGGGTAGCCATCGTCAGAACTGCCCCATGCCCTACGATCTCTTCCGTGACCCAGGCGACAGAACCACCAATGGTGTCTGGCAACACGTGCTTGCATCGGCACCAGCTGAATAGTGTTGCGTTGACAAGTGTGTTCCACCGTCCCAGGTCGAAGGTGTCATCCAAAAAGTCCACCTGAGATTTCCTTAGTTCGGGAACAAAGGAACAAATATGAACCAACGATTGCTAAATACTATCTTTGCTTGGTAAACCATGGCAACGGCAAGAAGTTTGATGTTTCAAACTGCATGGCATGAGCAATTGCCAGATGAAAGAGTCTTGGCACCAAGCCGCAAGTGGCAAACACATCGGCATCAATTTTGATTTCCAGGGGCCCCCAAGCATAGCTTGACTAATTCGTCTATCACCAAAGTTCAACTTCTGAAGGGATTCAATCTATTTGCAGACAAGTGGCACCCTTGGATCACCATCAAGGAATCGGCTAGCCAAGAAAATATCGTCTGGCCATGATGCTGACAGGCTTTGAAGGATCACCACAGCATCCACTCCCCACGAACGAAGCAGAGCCCACAACAGCAAAGTGAAAGCTGGTGTTCTGTGAAAACCAGCTGTGCAAAAGATCCTTAGGTAAAAGATTTCAGGGCAACCCTTGACAAATTAGCATCAGCCATGTTCTCATGTGTCGCCGGCTTGTGCAACACAATTTGCAACAACACATGGTAAATGTTTCACACACAAAGATTCAGACTTTACACTTGGCTTGTTTGGCCAAGCTGCTCGATGATCTCTGCTGGCGACTGAAGTATGGCCAGGAGAAGCTTTTCAGCTGCATCGTGACTGAAGACCTGGGCTTTGGGCCCCATGCCATGCATAATAATTAATAATGATAATGAGTTTAGGTGGGAAGGAGAGTGAATACACAATTCGTTTTGCACTGTTGACAACATCCAGCAAGATTTTCCCAGCCTCCAACTGAGTCGTCCTCGTGAGCCCCGAGTGGGGTGATTTCTGCGGTGGCACCCTTAGTGAGTCAAATAACTTGACTCATAAGGTGACAGCATAGATGATTGAATTCTGTAAGTCATTCATGACAGCACAATGACACAGTGACTGAGGTGACACAACCATACCTAAAAACAATTATCAGCAGATGAATC